GAGGAAACAGAAGCAGCCCCCCCTCCCCACAGGCATACCCACCCCCTTTGGCATCCCGTGTCTGAGGGAGCCATCCCAGACCCCAAGGGACCCACCCACTTCCTGGGGTCCTGCTCCTTTTCTAGGTCCCGGCCATCTCCCTGGCCTATGAAGCGGCCGAGAGCGACATCATGAAGAGGCAGCCCCGAAACCCCAAGACGGACAAGCTGGTGAACGAGCGGCTGATCAGCATGGCGTATGGTCAGATCGGTGAGTCTGCCCGGCCGGCCTCCGTCGGGGAAGCGCTCTCAGCCTGTGGCAGGGAGTTCCACAGGACAAAACACTGGCCACCAAGCCTCCCCTTTAAACCTCCTTGGCCACTTTTACAGGAGGCACGTCAGGGATTGTTAAGCGAAAATCCTTCTCCTGCTGAGCGTCCACTTCATTCCTGGGCTGCCGCCCATCCTTGAATCAACAGTGGGCCAAGCCCGTGTCTGGAGGCCTTGTCCGGGCTGGCCCCGCTTTGCTGGAGGATGCTGGGGCCAAGCCAGGAAGGCCTGACCTTCTCTCCGCCTTTCCTTCCGTTCCCCCCACCCCGCCCACCCCCCAGGTATGATCCAGGCTCTAGGTGGCTTTTTCACCTATTTTGTCATCCTGGCTGAGAACGGCTTCCTGCCCACCACCTTGCTGGGCATCCGGCTGGACTGGGATGACCGCTCGAAGAACGACGTGGAGGACAGCTACGGCCAGGAGTGGGTGAGTGGACGGGCGGGCGACGGGTGAGGAGGAGGGCGGGCTGTCAGCTGACGACGCAGCCTGGGGCTCTGCGGGAAGAAGCCGTGCATCTCTGGCCAGCAGAAACTCAAGGGGAGCCAACGTTAAGGAAGAGTGCTCTTTGGAACGCCCCTTCCCAGGATGCTTGGGTCTGTAGTCCAGAAATAACTCTCGCAGCCTTGGGGAGAACCGGCACGGTGGCCTCGCCTTCCACCTCGTGCAGAAGGCCAACCGAGAAGGAAACCAGGCAAGGCGTCTCGGCAGAAGGGCTGCCCCCTCTGCTCCCCCCCCCGTGGGGAGAGATGCTTGTGGTTTTCTTTGCCTCTGTATCTTGCACTTGGCAGGCTGGGCTTTGTGATGGGTCGGCAGGAGGTTGGCAAGTTTGATGGCCGAAGCCGGAGACCCCGTTGTGGGAAGGCCAAGGCTTTCCCCAGAAGATCTGGCCGGATGGAGCTGAGGGAGGCTCCCGCCCGTGACGGCCCCGTGTGCCCTTCCTCTCTCTGCAGACCTACGAGCAGCGGAAGGTGGTGGAGTTCACCTGCCACACCGCCTTCTTCGCCAGCATCGTGGTGGTCCAGTGGGCCGACCTCATCATCTGCAAGACCCGCAGGAACTCCGTCTTCCAGCAGGGCATGAAGTGAGTGGCCCTGGGAGCCCGGCCCCCCCCTCTGGTTTCGCCCCGGGGGGGGCTGAAGAGCCCTGCTTGGGTGGGGTGAG